TCGTCGTCGTCGTCGTCGTACGTACGTATATATATATATATATATATATATATATATATATATATATATATATATATATATATATATATACGAAAGCACGAAAAGTTTAACAACGTAATTATGGGATCTACTTGCGGATAACTATATATAAATGGTTGACTTTTCATTAATGGAAACAGCCCTGCCGAACCCCAGGTTTGGAAATGTGACCTCAGTATATCACGAGGCGCGTTTGGTAATTTCCACTTGTCACAATATGTTTTGTTGGGTTTCTTATTAGGACTATTTACAAGCATAACGGTGCGGGTTGGTCGGAACGAGAACTTCAACCAGAATGACCAGTGTGGAATCACTTTCACGGCCAACGACATCCCTGATTCCACAGTGATGTTTTGCGACCCGCCGATATACAGCCGTTATGTGTCGGTACACATTATGGGGCTTTTGCCCACATTGGAACTGTGCGAGGTGGAACTGTGCGAGGTAGAGGTCTCTGTTAAAGGTAGCTTTTATTTTACAATGTCTTTACGTAGGTAAATAATACACCCAAGAAAATGTCATTTGTATAATCCATTATCTAGCGTAACATTTATTTTATTTAAATGTAAAAAAAGAAATTAGCTTTGCCTTCCTCGAGCAATTATATGTAAAATATGCATAGAATAAAACAAGAGACAAAATACGCCTAAACGTAATACATTAAACATACATAACACGATCACGTATCACACGCCGCCGTGAAATTTCATATGTCATAATTACATATTCTATTCATCCTTAACTTTCTTTCTAAATATTGCACTTTTAGATAAGGAATTTGCTTTAACGGTATGTTATCGGATGTCCAAATAAATAACCGTGACGGTTTTCTGCCACTGAGCCGTTTCTTCTTCTGTTCTAGCTAGCTCTTTACAAACCATGTCAATTAACTCCAATTTTACAACCTCAATTTGTTTCTTTTTCTTTTTCCATCTTAAGATATCTGCTGTAACGACAGCATAGAACTCGTGAACGGCCAGATCACTCCTACCGGCGGGGGCTACTGCTCTGGGAACGAGATCCAGTTCTCTTGTGACCCTGGATACGAGGTTATCGGCAACTCATCAGCCACCTGCCAAAAGGACGGGAGTTGGGACAGAGGAATTCCGACTTGTCAACGTGAGATAGTAACTACCATTTACATTGTGAATGCCGTGATAACTCTATCATGATGGTTCTCCTGCATAGTCATAGATTCTTAGAATTACCTTCCCGTAAAGTAGATATTATAATTTACTAAATCTGTAAATTTTAGGCCCTCCTGATAGTCTCCTGTTGCCATTGTAATTTGCTCAGGTGCAAAGCAGTCGGTTAGCAATATATTTAATATATAATGTTATATTTTGCCAAAACTGGCTGATCGGCAGCGAAAGATTTTTCCGACAATAAGAAAGGCCTGGTCCATACTCAGTGATACATACATCAAAATTACCTTCATCATTATCAGCTGTATTCGGCTAGAGAGAATATGGCGTATCTAGTATGCGCAATTGCAATGAATACTGCCCTTGGGAATTTTAACAAATTTGAAATTGCTTTAAAGAAAATGAAAATAAAAATTCTAATTCTAGGTATCTGCTGTGACAACACAACTAGGATAAAGAACGGCCAGATCAGGGTTAATGAAGACTACTGCTCTGGGAGTTCTATCGAGTTCACTTGTGACACTGGATATGAGCTTGACGGTAAAAACTACGCTGTCTGCCAGCGAGACAAAAATTGGGACCGGGAGATTCCGACATGCCAACGTGAGTTGCTGAATTGCTTCTTCTTTACGATTTTTGTCTTCGCCCTTTTTGACACAGTATAGAGTGTGCCAACTATTGCTTTAAAAACCTCGGAATGGTTAAGTAACCATTCCGAGGAATGGTTAAGGAACCATTCCGAGTTTTTTTTAAATATATATGTAATATATAATTCTGTACGTCCACTTATTAATTAACGCAATACATTATTAACTCATTTATTTTTGGTGTACTTGGGTCCGAATAAGTTGCCCGGTTTACACATTTGTTACTTTTAGAAAAAGTTTGCAAATATTTCAGCTATAATACCTCCTTTTCAGTACTTAAATGTTCTTAATGCCAGCTTTCTATATTTGCAGGTGTCTGCTGTGACAATATAACCGAAATCATGCACGGCGAGGTTATAATTAATGCTACTGACGGTCACTGCTATGGGAAAGACATAAGGTTCTCTTGTAATCCTGGGTACGAGCTCGTTGGCAGCTACTCAGTCACCTGCCAAGAGGACGGAAACTGGGGCCCAGAAATACCGACTTGCCAACGTTAGTTGTTTTTTTTTTAATTGATAAATTAATTCTAAAAGAAAAAAAGTGTTCATAGGCGACAATTCTCCGTGAAGTTTTTTTATTTTGCAGATTGAGAACAATGATAGTGTATGTAAACAGTGTGTGACAGTTAACAACTGGTAACAACGTATAGTAAAATTGGCTAAATCCCTGGTCTAATACTCTAGCCTGACTAAAACATCGCGCTCCTAGTGGCCTCCTGCCCAGAAGTTTGCCAACCCCCCCCCCCTTCGGGGGAACAGTTGCAGACTGACAAGTGTAAACACAGGCTACATGAAATAAACAACACGACAATCTAACTAGATGGACAAAGTCAGCTTTCATAACAATATTCTCTTTTACTACATGTTATTCATTTAACAAGGTATCGCAGTAGGTGAAAACCACAATCCCACCATTATGCACAACTCGCCACTATTATGCACAACAGCAACCTAATATCTGCTTAGAGAACCTCTGCTACCAGACAACTACCTAAACCTACGGCCTATTCCACAGGGTTGTAAAATCTGAACGCTGGTAATTGTACATCATTATTTTAAAATTTAATCCTATGTGCATAACTGACAGATACAGTGCAGTTCAGTACTGTACTATCACTCCTACCCTCCCTTGAGTGCATAGTAAATGAGATCCCTGGAATGTAGGTCATCCCCGGCAGGAAGGTTTTCCCAAGGGTTTCCAGGAATTTCACTAAGTTGGGCTGTGGGCATACATGAGTGTCAACAAAATTCCAGAGCTGAGACATGACTGTTGACACTTCATTCCTGTGGATAAAATTGCTGTACAAATAATACAATTCTTGTAAACTGCACACAATACTGTACCATTAGGCTCCTCCCTGACACGTCGCCAAAAATACTAAAAGCTACATGGATTCAACCATCACATGGATATTTGGGCAAAGCTCTGATTACTTTTCTATAAGTATGTGTAATGTATGTGAAAAATCCACGGCTTACTAGCAAACAAACAGCATGGTCTCCAAGAAAGAAATATTAAACCTTCGTAAGATGCCACTGTTGTGGATGAATTTTCTAGGAACGTAATCACGCTCTATCTACAGACCTTAGTATGATATCCCAATCATTGAACAAAGCTTGCATATTTCGTCACTAGCACCATTAATGGTATTCCCAGTATAGAAACTGTTGTTATGACTTATGTCACGCACAGTACCTACAAAGGAAAGCCGCACGTCCACAGAAGCCATCATCGGCGGAACCACTGCCGGTATCGCCGCAGTGCTGATTGTGGCAGCTGTCGTCTTCATGGTCTTCCTAAGACGAAGGAGGAAACGAAGAGAGGAAGAATACATCTCACAATCGGTTGCTTACTTTGTACCAGATGACATAGCGAGTGAGTTTTCTTATCTAAGGCCCCTGTCGCCCCTCTCACACATTTACGAATTTGGCCTCCTGAACACTCAACAACCATATGCATGAGTAGGTCTGAGCAAGGTCGAATGGCTCGGCTGGTGTTCAGCGAGGACGGCTACTATTCGGCTGCGGCAGCCTAATGTTTCAAAATATTTGAAATGTATCTATTTATTGTTTGAATCAGGCAGTGCCCATAGACAACATAGACAACACAAAACACATAGATCTTAAAATACAATGCCTAGGATAAAAGAAACTGAGAGGAGGCCTATTTAAGGTCTGCTTACCAACTGGCAGTACCGACGCGAGAACTGACTTTTGGGGCAGGCTTCAGAGCGTAAAATCAGGCTAATAATGTCGTTACCCGACTCCAGGAGTGCGTCAGCTTTCGCCTCCTGGCGTCGAAGGTGCCGACACCCAACTGTGCAAAGAACAGGCTGTTACTAGTGGAGCGAGGCTGAGACATGATGGTCGGGCGTTGGGGGGATCAGTAAAACAGCAGACAATTAAACAACTAAACTAAACTAAAAGTCACTTTGATTCATGTATAAAGATAGGCATGGCCTAAATTTGGCGGGAAAGCTTGCGAACGTCAGCCGAATGTTTTCAGTTAACGTTTCATATTTCATAGTATGGTGTATCAGAACTGACGAAGATATCGTAATTTATTAAGTAATATAACAGAAATAAATAGCGAACATTGGAATATTTCCTCAGATAAACACATTTTACCATAGTCCTAATGGTCCTGTTCCACTGCATGCCGTTTTCCAGTCCACAGGAGAAGAATGGAGGAGGCGAACCCACTGGTTCCACCCCGGCCACAGTTCCCGCGGTTAGAGACCGACCCCAGCCGGGTGACGCTTGGTGAGAAGATCGGCAGCGGGGCGTTCGGCATCGTTTACCGGGCAATCCTGGCGCAGAACGACCGGACGGAGGACGTCGTCGTAAAAACTGTTAAAGGTTGTGTAGTACATATATTTAGCGTTCTAAGTTAATAGTAACTTTTCACACCAGGTTTCAGCTTGATTTTTGAGATCTACACTTTATGAACAAACAAGATGGGAAGTTGGTTATGTAAATAGAGAACGGTATCTAAGAGATATTGATAAGTTATGAAATGTAAAAACTTCTTATAACTGTATTTTCGAAGCACTTCATTTTTTTCAAACACGCCGTCAACGCCAGCAGCTGGCTATCAGGTACATGCTGTATGATCCTTCACGTTTTGCAATTACAAATTCTAAATTTCTTCTCCTTTATCGCTAATTACTTGGAGGCCTAGTACCAGTCTAGAAGAGCTAAAGGAATTAGCAAGAGATAGGAAGAAGTGGAGGGGACTGTTGAGGAAGAGACGAGTTCTGTGCGCAGGCCACTCGAACGACTGACTCGAGGAGACCTCAACAAGTAAGTTACCGCCATTTTGACTGATTTCTCCATTCACAGAAACGGCCGGTGAGGAGGAGAAGCTGGGTTTCCTGGAGGAAATCCGTGCAGTTGTGGACCTGGGGGTTCATAAGAACCTGCTAGGTCTGGTCGGCTGCTGCACGGTGACGCGAGACCATCTGTATCTCATCACGGAGTTCATGCCGTACGGAGACCTGAAGAGCTTCTTGAGAAAATGCCGGGAGGTGAGACACATTCTGGTTTTTCTAGTTTTCTGGAAATAAATATGGTGAATAAGGAGGCTAAAATTATTTCTTAAATTTTGCATGCGATTTACGAATGTTGAGGATGTGTTATTTGCTCGTTAACGGGATGCAAACTGTGTTAAGGTGGAAAAAAGTATATATTTTTTCTCGCCTGTGCATTTGTAACATATTGGATCTTTTTGTTGTTACTTTACTTTCAAATGCATATTGTTATCAAATACTTTGACTTTATTCGGATCCACATTTATCCACATCAAATATAAATGATTGAAAATTATAGAAATGTTTTACAGGAAGAGACCTTGGACGAATCTCGAGACGATATCTACACCTTCGAGGTGATACAGATGTATCAGGTGGCCTGGCAGATCGCTAGAGGCATGGTGGGTACAGGTTGTGCCGGATTCTGCAAATGCATCAGGTGCTGCAGATGTACCATGTCCCACAAATGCACCAATGCCGCCAATGGGAGTCAACATCATCTACACTTTTGAATTACAATATAAAATGCATAAAATACCTGCTACTTACCTAATCCTTACTATGAATTATACTTGCAGCGCCAGTTGGCTGGGTTTCAGGCTAAAATGATGCGGTATGTCTGATTCATCACGGACTTCATGTTCTGTTCATGTTCTAGGATCACATTGCCCGGTCTCGTTACGTCCACGGAGACCTGGCCGCTCGGAACGTGCTGGTCGGAAAACGCCTGCATGTGAAGATTTCTGACTTCGGGCTGGCAGAAGACATCTACAGCCGAGGTTACCGTCGGCAGAACCGGCTCCAGAGGGTGCCCTGGAAGTGGATGGCGCCGGAGCGGCTGGAGGGCGGGCAATCCTACACCTCACAGAGCGATGTGTGAGTAATTTTATCATAATATCTGCAGTTAACTACTATAATATCCACTCTCTAACTCTAACCTAACACCAACAGAGCGATGTGTGAGTAGTCTTGGAGTTAACTATGGTAACCAATCTCTAACTCTAACCTTACTCCACAGAGAGCGATGTGTGAGTAATCATCATAATATCTGCAGTTTACTATGATAACCAATCTCCTAAGACCTTACAGAGCGATGTAAGATTAAGAGTAGAACTATTATAATATCCGAGGTGTAATTATGATAATTGATATGTAACTCTAAGTTATTATAACCTAATACACTACACCAAGTGACGCGTGAGTTGTCATTATCTGAAGTGTAAGTCACCTATGATACCCAATCTCAAAGTCTAATCTACAGTACATATTGCAGTAGGTAGTGGCGTCGTGTGGCGTAGTGGATAGAGCGTTCGACGCTCAAGCAAGGAGCCCCGGGTTCGATTCCGGGTCGGAGCACAGGGGCATGTCCTAACATGCGCACCGACGTTGTGCCCTTGGGAAAGGCACTTTACACGTATCCCCCCTCAATTAGAGGGTCAAGTCTCCAACGGCAGTTGTCTTCAGCTGGCGGACGAGAGCAGCGCCAGGCGGGCTGGCGTAGTCAATGCGGACCTGAGCGTAACCAAGTCATCCGGCAGCTCGCTGCAGGCATCCCAACCGGAACCAGCACGTCTCCCTCGATATGGATCCACTGGGAAAGTCGGGTGCCCAAGTGTGTGGGTCTCAGATTCGCAACCTGTTATCCACTCTGGTGTAGGGACTGACACGGTCACCCTACTCGGAAAAATCTGCATCTGTATATCTGTACATGAATCTGTATCTGTGCATGAATATGTATCTGTACATGAATCTGTATCTGATTGCAAATAAAGATTATCGAGTGATTGCCATAGAGATTGCAGTAGGTGAATGGTCGCAATGTCTCCAGGGCATTACGAACGCAAATCCTAACCCTAAATTCTAAGATGTCATCTCCTAAAATTTTCATGGCGTGGTATCATATTTCCTTAACAGGTGGTCTTTCGGGATAGTGCTGTACGAGATCTGCACGCTAGGGGGCGATCCTTACCCAGGCGTGTCAGTATCCGAGCTGAAAGACCGTCTACAGGCTGGATTCAGGATGAACCAACCTGAAGACTGTCCACGAGCCATGTAAGTCTGCTGGTTTTCTGCACTCATATCGCGAATATTCGAAGAAGTTTGATAGTTTTCGTAAAACGACGTATTATATAGGAACAGAAACGCATATGGTCATTGAATACACTAAGGAACTCATTTGCGAATGAGCAACTCCGTCGACTTCTGGTAGCGACGAAATCTCTTTTAGGGCCACGGTGCTGGGCCTGAGCTGTCAGATTTATGTAACAGATTACCGCATAAAATCATGTACCCAGTCTGGGGTAGGTAGGCTGGCGGCCAGGAAAACTAGGCATAATCTGCTCACCGACAAATGCATGATGTTTATCGAACCTAAAACACAGTACAATACAGTACTGTACTGTACACTATAGGGTATATACTAGTAACATGTTCCATGTTTTGTGAATAGCAAAGAGGTGAAAAGGTGATACGACGGTCGCCAGATGTCGCTTTCTCCACAGGTACGATGTGATGCAGCAGTGTTGGCGCTGGCAGCCCATCCAGCGGCCGCTCTTCAGCCAGCTGTATCTAACACTGGACAAGCATCTCGCCGTCTACGGACCCGAGTACTTGGATACAAATTAGCGGCCAGTACTTGAAATTATTGAAGGAGCGGTATCGTAATACATAAATGTAAACACGTTACAAGATGTGGCATATAAGTTTCAAGCTGTTTTATAGATTTTAGTTGGCCAATGGAGATGTGTACGCCTCCAAGCAGTCTTGGGACTGCAGGGGGTTTTCCTTGTAGTGTTTGAAACAACATTACTCAAGAAGAGAGCAATGTCTTTTTATACTTTAGTTCAGGTAGTTGCAATTGGGTAAGGTGGAAATGCATATAGATCGATTCTAATTATGCAAATTCGACTAAAGATGCATATATTAAGAAGAAATTTCAGAATTTTAGTTTTAACTGGGTAAATTCAAAGGTAATGTCGCTATATATACATAAATATATATATATATATATATATATATATATATATATATAGAGAGAGAGAGAGAGAGAGAGAGAGAGAGAGAGAGAGAGAGAGAGAGAGATGGATAGATATATCTATTTAAAGATATATGCGATAAAGGATTATCAAATAGCAATGCAGTTGTATATATATTGTGCTAATAAGCAACTTGTGCTATGAGCGTGATTAATGACATATATACAGATCAAAGAAAACTCTTACAAAGATAGATAATTTACGCAGGTTTAACTTGAACTAAATTTAAACTATAGTATAAAAACCTTATTCATTATTGCATCATGAAATAGTAGTAGTAGTAGTAGTAGAAGTAGCAATTTGTTTATTGATAAAACACGGGGCAAATCAGCCTTGCAGTAAAAACTGAATTGCGCCGAAATTTACAATCAACATATTCAGTAAAACCAACACGGTAGACAATATAAGTTGAAAAAAAGAGTGTACCGTCACCACGTCTTGTGATTACATGTTGAAATATATACAATGTATAAAAACACTATAGTCTATACTCAGTTTATTCGAATGGATACGTTGTAAAAGACATCATGATTTCCTTGTCCACCATTTACTTATACGTACCCATATGTAAGCGATGTAACGAACTGTAATGCTTTTCAGCACCAAATATTTGAAATATACGCGTAAACAAATACACAGAAGTACTCAAAAGTACCGAAACTAATGTTATTAACCTGTTATGACCAAAGGGCCCGGTTTAACGACACTATGTAAATAGAGACTGTGAAGTATACCAACTCAGATTAACTTCTATGCTAAGTAATTAACCAGTTGTTTGTCGGTATTATTAAGATCTTACGGTAACTAACCTGCGTAAGATTAAAAACAGTATGATATATATA